GCAGCTGCTTCCCTTTTTGGGAACGGTACATCTCTGTAAGTTTATGGGGATCCCAAGTTGGGTGTGAAAAGAAACCACAAGAAACCAAAGAACCACGAGGAGTCCTTCAATTTGTAGAAATATCCTCTGAACAACTGGAGAATTATGATGCCTGGCTCAGGGAAGCGCTTTGCGAGCTGAAATTCTTGGAAGTAACGACCCAAGGAAACCTCTCGTAACAACACACACACACAACACAAACAAATTATTCTATTCTTCACTCAGAAGTTCTTTGGAATAGCGGAACCCTTTGATGAAGCTTCAAAGGAAACCAACCTAAAACGACCCACTTGAAAGAGTACATGATATGTGACAAACCCGAATGCAGGTGCCAAGCACGCAGGAACCCGTTTCCTGCAGCTGTTCAACCGCGACATGAACTGGCCCCCTCAAAAGTCAACCAACCCTGCACATCATTGTTGTCCCCTCTAGCCAAAACCACCATGATCTAACATGCTTCCTCTGGTGCCCCTTTGAACAAAATCCAAGAAAGCTTCAAGCAGATCCGCACTGGGCAGCCCTCCGTGTGATCAAGGCCGCCTGTGTTGCGCCCGGCAGAGGGAGGGTGCGCGCCAGCATGCTGGGCGGCAACTGGGTGCGCAAGCAAGGCAAGCTGACGTCAGTGGCCTGAATGCTGTGAGAAACGAACCAAATCGGAGTGATCGTAGCCCTAAGAAGGCCTCATGAGGGCAGGCAAGGGTCCAAGACAATCCAATCGACAATCCAGCGACGTCTTCCTGAAAGACATGCTCACCTTGTCGCTGATATGAAGTCGTGGATTCAAGTGATGACTTCAAATCTTGCCGTTCTTTGCCAGGCAAATGCCTCATCCTCACAATTTGGTAGTGCAGCAAGAGGTGCTGTGCTTGTCAGAGCTATCCATTCCAGTGCCTTTTTGAGAGTACCCTTGTGGGGTTGGTTTCAAGGGAGCCAAGCGGACACCACTCTTGGCTTACCCATGGGCGCCTGCGGCTTCTCCGCGCGACCTGACACCAAGGCTTACATGCGAATCTACACCCAATTTGGGTGACGACGGTTGGGTCGTGTTTCTTCTTTGTCTTCTTGTTTTGTTGGCGACTGCAGAAAGGAAAGCAAGCGTGTCCCGTGACATCACTCCATTGTGAGAGGCACGCACATTGCGTGGCTGTGTGTCTGTGGCGGGTTGAGAAAATGGTGACCCTTGACAGGGGCCTTATCGGTAGGTGGCCATGTTTTGACAATTGGGCCCAAAGCGGGGCCAAAACCAAAACCATCCGAAAAGGGGCAAGATGTCAAGACATGACACAGCCAGCGATACGAAAAGAACCGCCAAATATTTCCAAGGCATCCACATGTCCTAGACAAACAAACACACAAAAAAAAACCCCGACAATATAAAAAAAACTATAAACTTCAACAAAAAATAAAAAACAACACCACATAAAACATCAAAAACAAAAACAAATAATCCCTCAAGGCAAACAAATAATACCCCCCCTGCACCCCACCCCCACAAACGCCCACAAGCACAAACAAAGATGGATGCCATCTCCTTGAGTGAGGATAACCGAGGATTTAAATGCGTTGAGCGCCTGAAGGAAACACTACTGAGCAGAAGACTCACTGTTTCCAAGCTCCTCTTCACCCAAAAAAAAACGCTTGCTTCCAGGAAAGCAATGTTGTGGCATAAATCTGCCTGGCTCATGCTCAGGAGACCATTGATTGGCCAGCGCTCATGGCATTTCGCATCTTCTGTTCAACCGATTCAGTCCTTTGGGAGCCCCAGACCACCCATGCCTCCCCAACATTCCCTCTCCCTTCTGCTGCTAAGCCTGGGCCTTCGTCGAAGCCTTTGAACGCGGGCGCCGGCTTGGGCTCAGGATCCTCCAGCGGCTCAACGACGCCCGCCGCTTGCGTGAAGAACCCTTCTGTTGGTTGGTCTCAAAGGGAAGCAGCCCAAAAACAAACAACAAGGATTGCACTAGGTTAGTCAGACTCAATTTGCAGGCCGAACAATTGGCAGAACACCGGACACTTGCAACCGCCACACGTGCCATGCTCAGTCAGTAGCTTGCCGGAAGAGAGCCTTAAAAACCGTGGTTTTGGCCTGAAGATAGAATGGCAAAGAACAATGAGCATTACCAGCATGAACCTTCCGTTGACTAGCCAGGGACTACTAGCTCGTCTTCTTGTGAATCGCGTGAGCGACTTTCTCCCGAACGACTCTGAGGAAGTCGATTAAGAATTGCCCTCAGACGGTTGCGAGCTTTCACGCACCCGCCTGCTTGTGCCTGCTTGCGTGCCAAGCCCTTAGCATTCAACAACTTTTGCAAGCAGGCTTCCGCGTGTGCTTACGCAGCGCAGGTTTCCCGCAAAAAATGCGTATGCCTTCTGCAGGGCCTTCCCATGATACGTCTTAAGAAGTTCGGAGGGCCGGCCCCCGTCTAATACTTTCATGTTGGCGTCCTTCAGAACAAGCTGCGACACGCGCGCGCGCACACACACACACACACACACCTACACATGTGCAACATACAGCACACAGCACTAATCCCATTGTGCAGCCCCTATCATATACCATGCACAATTTGGTTCCGCTGTGAGTGCAAGAGATTTGTCAAATGATTGTTCGCATGAAGGAAGTGCATGGGTTTAGCAAGCAGTCCCAAAAGTAACACTCGCTGCTTCCAAGAAAGAACAGCTGTCCGGACATCAGCTTGAGCGCCTCCCTTACTCTCACATGTAAGCAGAATCTTCCTGGCTTCTACTGCGAGTGTGCCTTTTTGTCCGAAAGCACAGAGTGGCTGGAGGGCAAGGCTTACTCCTGGCTCGACTCAATGTGCCGCGCCTCTTGCGTCTGCAGGAGCCGCAGCAGATCCATCTGCCCCGTGTCCGAGATACCCCGCCCTGGCGACAAGGGCAGCTGACTCTAATACCCAAGTGACTGCAGCGAGTCGGCATCATTTGAAAGCGTTTTGCTTTGTGCTCTAAGAAAAAGCTGTTGAACGTTTGCACAAGCCGCACATGGGCGCAATGTTGGGTACAGTTGAAGCTATTTCATCCTGGTTTGATTGTCTGCATATACAACGCGTAGGTTGTTCTTTATGGATTGATTAATGGAAGTCAAACAATGCTGCTTGACTTGGCAAAGAAGCCCAAGCCCTGCGTTTGTTGGCATGAAGGAGCCCCGCACTCAAAGCAGTGGGTGCGTTTAGGATCCTTGCCTACACCAATGGATTACCACATATATATATTCTCAAGCATCTGGAAATCACGCCCTTAGATAATTTCTAGAATTGCGCCCCTGACAGCCATGTCCCAAGGGTTTTTCCTGGCAACAACGCGGCCCAAACTTTCAAACAGTCGCCAATCAAGATCAAGCCCAGCACAGGCATCTAAGGAAGAGTCCATGGAGTAAGGACAAATCAAGCAAGACTCAAAGGGAATGTTTCGGAATGTTTCGGGGTGGTCTGGACAGTGCTGCCAAAAGGACTCAACTTTGTTCACTGCTTCAAGCTTGAGCTTACACCTGCCCCGAAGGAAACCAACAAATTTCTCTGATTCCAGAGGAATGGTTTCAGGGCCGACGTGGTAACTGGGCTGTCCGTTATTCAGATCCCGTGCTGGCTCATCTTTTAGTGGGTTTACTGGAACCGCCCCCTAAACCCAAAAAACCTAAACAAACCCTAAGGAATCGGACGGCTGGGAACCGCCAAGGTAAGCGGAGGGAAAGCTGTCGAGGTGTAAGCAGCGCTGCACCATGCCCCGCACCTTCCTGTGGGCTCTCTGGCAACTCCGGCCACGGCTCTGGCAGCTCCGGCCGTAGCTCCGGTGGCGGCTCTACCTGGCTTTCAGTTGGCCCAATTGATCTTCGCTTGAAAATCACCAGGCGAAAGTGGAGTGGTCTTTCGGGAGTTTCCGTGCAGTTGGCTGTTTGTTGTCTCGAAACTCTTCAAATCTGAACCCTTGGGCCATGAAGAGAGACCCCATAGCATTTGGGGTTGGAAAAGAAACGGCCCCTTTCTTTCGGCTGGACCCCAGCATCTGAGTTTCATCTCGGACAGGGGTCTCCCCCAAAAATGCGGGTATTTGCCTTTATACCAACCAGAAGAGGATTTTCCCCCGTACAAAATTGCCTGGTTCTCAGCAGGGAATGAGAAATGGAATGACCCGACAAAAACCACCCCGGTTGGATTCCTTCAATCAAGGGAATCCCAAAACGGTTCATTCAACTAACACCCTGGGTCTCGGTCATTCCCTACCTATCGCACCAGCAAGTAATACATACCAACACTTGATCCATTTGCAGGGTAAATGTGGGTGTATATATATATATATAGATAGAAATACCTACATGGATTGTCTGGGAATGGCAATTCAATCGCACCAGCAACAAAATCCCTTACCCCCATCTGAGCCCTTCCCCTCCCTTCCAGACTTTGACTGGTTCCAACAATGCTGGGGGATTCCTTTTGGTTGGCCTGTGAAAGCCAAAAGAGGAGTTCAACCCATTCTTGGGTGCTGTAGATCCCCCGGCGCAAAAATAACAAACTGTTTGCTGGTTGAAAGGAAATATGAGGGGAAAATCCAGAAAGTTCAAGTCGAAAAAGATCCGTTGCCCAATAGCAGTAGAGCAAGGCCCCTCCCTCCCGGCTTCTCTCACGCCTCCGGGCCCGCGCCCGCGCCGCCCGCGGGCGCCGGCGCCGCGCCGGCGGCGCGGGCGCCGAGGCCTCCTCCGTGGCGCTGGGCCGGCGCTGCGCCTGCTCGGAGCTCCGGGCGGAGGGCAGCGTCCTGAAGGACCGCAGGGGAATCGAAGCCACCAGGAATCGGACCGCAGGTTTTGGTCGTTGCTTCCATTTACCAGGGTAACCCATTTTGGGGTTACCCTATTTTTGACCCACAGCCACATGGGGGGTTTTGGGGGGGGGGGGGGAGAACCTGAGGGAAAAAAAAAATGGGTGGCAACCAGTTGTCATGCTTCGGTATGTTTGCGGAAAACATCAGGGGTTCGGAGATATTAAAAGGTGATGAGGGGATACGGGTGGGTTTTGGACCTTTCTCTTGAAATTCAAGAAATGTCGAGCTGGCCAACGGTTGAGCAGGGTCCGAAAGAGAGGCGGGGGTCGGTTGCACTTTTGCTCAATGATGGCCATGACATCTGGGCTTGTGAAAGCCGTGGCATGGCGCAGCACAGAGCCCTGCAAGTCATCCAAGAAGATAGAAAAACAGAACTGGGCAAAGCACTTGGGTGGCAAAACGTTGTCTTGGCAGCCCCGTATGAATTTAGACAGCCAGGTGTTGGTAGCAAAAGATGGTTTTAGAGAAAGAGTCTACAAAAATGGAGAAGTTTGGGGAATACATTATCTACCAAATGGGTCCCTGAATTCGACGGGGCGAACTTCGCTTTTAGCAATGGTCACGACAAGCATGCTTTCACCTAAGCTAGGGCTCTATGTCATGTAGGCGAGTTGGCTCTCAATCCTACCAGCGTTTCAAATGGATTGGACACACATTCTATGGGGAAATGCATTTGCCGAGCAAATAAAAACAAAGCCAACCCCATTTATCCTCTTGTGCTAGCATCCGTCCGATCGTCCACACCCCTCCCATTCTATGGGAAATCCAACAGGGATGCTTTGGTTGGAAATAGGAAGATCGGCGTCTTTGTTGCAGCAATGGTTGCTTCAGTCAGCTCGCGAAATCGTACGCTCCTTCTCCACCTGACTGGTCGGGCTGTTTTGTAACTAAAATCTGCCCCCAACCGTCGCGTGACAGCTGTGATGCAGCCTGCTGCAACAGAGCCGGACAGACTATTCACAGACAGCTGCGACAGAGCCTGTGACAGACAGCATGTGACAGACAGGACCTGACAGCCATGACAGCGAAGCCTGTGGCTGCCGCCAGCGTGACTACAGTAACAGCTGAGCCTGCAACTGCAGGGGGGTCGATGCTGCCTTTCTTCCATTTTGGTTCGACTGAGCTTTTTCGCCATCGCATCCGCCAGCAGCATATCCTTTGTGGTTGCAGTCTCACTTGGTCAAGCAAGTTTCTTAGGTGGAGATTCGAAGTAGAGTAGTTTGCTTGCTGGTTGAAGATGAAACCCCGCCGCACCACCCTTCCTTTGCCACTCGAACGCCACTCTTCGCCCAGGCGCTCTTCGCACGGCGCCTCTCGTGGCGCCGGAGCCTCCGGCAGATCTGCAGCTTCCGGCGCCTGCGGCGCCTCCGGCGCCTCCGGCGCCTGTGGCGCCTGTGGCGCCTGCGGCGCCTGCGGGGATGGGGCCGCCGGTGGCGCCGGCACGGCCGGGGCCGGCAGCGGCTCAGGTGCTAAAGGCTGCGACCAGAGCGGCTGCTTTAGCGGTGCCCAGGCCGGGGATCCTTGGAAGGCGTCTCTCCCTCAGATTGGGAAATCAGGGATGCCCAAGAAAGGTATGGCATACACCTTTGATCTGTTTTCACCTTGCTCTGGAGGGCGCCATTTGCATAGCCCGAGCACTTCTTGCTCATAAAAGCAAAAGCCGGCCATCCACTAAGGCAGACACTGCCCCAAGTTCAATCCGAGATTCTCTCCCCGTCCGGGCCAGCCTGCGCTCCAAGGAGGGCAAAACAAAAAAGGCGACCGACACGCCTTTGATCAAAGAGCCCTCCGCTTGCAGCCGGAAGGGCAAGCACAGGGTTGTTCTCATTACATTTGCCTCCAACATGTGCAAATCACCACCACCAAACTGGTCCTCCCCGCACTGGACTTAGCCTATTGATTTGTACGGGGAAATCAATCTGGCGCGCCCAATCCAGTAACTCATTGCCCCCAGCGGCGCCTCTACCTTCTGCAGGCGTTGCTTCATCTCCAGCACCGCCTGACGCTGGTGGGAACTTGACGAGTCCATTAGACACACTCACGACAATTGGCCGGCAACAGAAGGGCTCAAGCCTTACTTACATGCTTAACCCCAAAGTGTTGAATTGATCTTTGGAGCTGGCATTTGCTGTGACACATTGCACACGTGCTCCTGTTTGCGAATCTTGAAAAGGATCCTCTCTGCCCCAGTCAAGCTGCCACCACAATCACCTACAACATGAGGTACGGGCCGCCTGTCCAGGCAAAACCAACACTGTGCGCCGGATTTGACCAGATTAACCCGCTGGCGTCTTTGATGATCTCAGACAGCCCTTCTTGTGCGCTCAACTGCACTGCGATGTCAGGCTGCAGCAGGGTTCGCAATGATTCCACAGGCACAGGCTTCCAGCTCTGTGGTGTTCAAAACCTGATGGGAATCCCGTGTTAAACGGTTGGAAGAAGGACAAATTGAAAGGATAAAATCATAAGCAACTACTCATAGTGCTTGCTCTTGTGGTGCAATAAGGGAAACTGGGAAGTCCCTCATCGTTCTTCCCAAATGAACCAGACACCACGCTCCCGCACCCGGACAGTGCTACGGTTGCACAGCTGCACAGACCACGTGCAATTCTGCTGCACCCCGCCCAGCCTGCAGAAGAAGCCGCACATGCTCCACAACGCTAAGCTCCTCAAGCCACGTGCCCCAATCCAAAGATGTCCCTCCCTTTGGAGGCCGGCTGCTCCGTGGGAGCTTCTGGAAGCAAGAACACAAGGTAACCAAGGATTTGTCTGAGTGTATCCCGTCCAGTTCTGTGGCACAACCATGGAGTCCCCATCTATGAGATATCGCCCCACTCAGCCGTCAACTTAAACACGTGCTAGGTCGAAGCTGTGCCAAATAAATCCACTGGTTTGTCACAAAGCAAGAACATTCGAACAAGTTCAATCCATTCTTTGCTCCATTGCGCCGCCAAACAAATTTGCCCATCTCCATCATGGAGGAAGCGGCTTTTGCCACTCACTGCCAAGCCCTTTCGATGCCTCTCCAGGAAGCACTTTTCTCGGCCCACTGGATTCGCCAAGCAACCGTCTACTGCCAAGGCAACCGTCTACTTCCCTTTGTACATTGCTTGCCGTGGGAAGGCCGCACAAGGCTGGCAACATGGACACAAAGGTCCGGTTCAATGCAGCAGCGAGTAGGCCTTGCTTTAGACATGTTGATGGATGTTTGCGACGTGTGCACCGCTCTTGAGAAGTGCGGATACCGTTTTTCTGTGCTTGGGAGCTTCGTCTTCGAGTTTCATTTACAGGACGCTGTTCAATAAAAAAACTCTTTAGCCTTGCCTAGCACAATTCACGCAACAAGAGGTCCTGAGTAGACAAAAACCACATGTAGTTGGCGACCCAAACCCAGAGAGTGGAACCAATGAAGGATGACAGGAATCGCGGAATCGGGCGATCCCCCATAAGCCTGCAGGTCAATGACCTGGCTTTAGCCACGAGGTGTCGATGGAGCCTGTTTGGAGACGACTAATTTAAGCTGGAACTCAGAACTTGCAGGGATGGCTTGTCTACCAGCCGTCCAAATTGGTCCAAGCTGCAGATTGCTCAGACCCCAGCAATCCCCATGTTTCCATGCGCCAACCTCCGTGAATCACGCCTCGTGGCGCTTCGCAGCATTGCCCTCGCAGCCCAAGCAGCCTCAGGCACTGTCCAACCAGTCTGTGTTTAAACTGCTTCCTTGTTCTTCTTTTAAGAGGGAAGGGTCTGGTTGCTTAAGCCAGTTTTGTCCAATGACACATCCAAGCTAACAGGCCAAAGATGTGTTTGCTCTGAATGTTGCTCCAAATTGTTGCAAATCAAGTAACCATCAATTTCCAATCATGACAGCTTATCCGAGTTTACTTTACATTGTGTTGCCTGTTCTTTTTGTTCAAAGGGCGAAACGTGTTGTCACGTCCAAATCTTCGAAATCATGCAACATCGCCAAAGACTGGCCGGAGGAACCAACAAAAAACACAACATTCGGAACACAAGATGACAGCCGACAGCCCAAACATAGTCACACGGAACCCTAGGCACCCATCTGTGCAAAAAAACTGCGGCCCCGTTCATTTTCAGAAACTCTGTCGCGCGTCCCGAGGCGTCCCGAGGCGTCCCGAGGCGCCAAAGGCACAGCGCTCCTCCGCGGGGATCGTCGCCAGCAGGGCCGAGGCCAAGGGCCGCATCGCCATGGCGGTTTTCGCGGTCGCGCGGAGCCGAGCCGCGAAGCTCGGGGCGGGAAGGTCGCGGTGTGGCTGGTCCGGTCGCACTCTGCGTGCTGATTTTCGCGTCGCAAGTTGCTGGCTTGGGGTTGGGGTCGGTGCCGGGGCTGTCCGGGGCTGCTCGAGGTGGGGCCTGCGCTTCAAAATGAGCTGCATGCTGGGCCTTGGCCCTTTGCCTTTTGCATCGTGTGGTGCCAATGTGTCTGGCCCGCTCAAAAGCTTTGATCGGCCCGGTGAATCTGAAGAAATTGCCTTAGAGCATGGACGGGAGTAGAACGAATTTCTGGTCACCAACTACTCCTTCTTCCTATTTGTAAACGGACCCCTAATAATAAAACCCCCTCCAAAACCAATACTAAGCTCTCTGAATCATCCAGTAGGTCCTTTCATAAGGTCTTGCTATTCCTTCCTTCCTTCCTTCCTTCCTTCCTTCCTTCCTTCCTTCCTTCCTTCCTTCCTTCCTTCCTTCCTTCCTTCCTTTCTTTTTTGCTTCCTTCCTTCCTTCCTTCCTTCCTTCCTTCCTTCCTTCCTTCCTTCCTTCCCTTGCGCGCTTGCTTGCTTGATTGCTTGCCGGGTGGTCATGAACAAAATCCCAATCCGGTGCAAGAA